TGTATTAATTTCAAATTACGGAAGAGAATAATAGGGGAAGCAATTTCAGTGGCATTTCAGGGATATCTGATGAATTTAAAAATGCAATCTGAAAATTGACACTTTCATTTTCATTAACAACAGTACCGACTGATTTAAAAGACATCAGATCGCCTGGTAACAACTGTTATATCTGGAAGTTAATTTCGTCAACATCAACGTTTTTGGCAGCCAAAATCGTCCGTTGACTAAGCCTTTCATGATTCATATAATTATTCTGTATATCCGAGAAAATACTTTGAATCAATTCATTTTTATTCTGAACAACAACAGCAAAAATTGTCTGGTAGTTTAATGCATTGCGTATTTGGTTGCATTTCTATTTTACCGTTCCCAATATCTAGTAGTTGTTCGGAAATATTTGTGCATCCATCAGCACAAATATTTTCCGAACAATTTTGTTTGTACATTTTGCAATTGTACTCGCATATTTATGGTCAATCGAAGTGTTTCAACATTTAGCCATAAGAATGATTGTTTGAAACATGCATTAATCTCATCCGCGAAAGTACAGCGAGGTATAACCGGTAAGGTCTGCCGGAAGTCACCAGGCAAAAATTTGATAGCACCACCAAAAAGTTTATTATTCCTGTTTAAATCTTTCATAGTTCTGTTCCACTATTTTTTTTTTGATGTTACCCATTGCATCTGGTTTATTATGAACGTCCAATGGCAGCTTGAATGTTGAATGTGCTGTTCTCCCATCATCCAGTAAACTAGCCGCAATGCCTGACGATGTTATCGCTAATGCGATTTTTTGTTGCGACCGTATTTTGGTAAAAATCAACGATACCGGTTCCACCGGGTTTATCCAAGAAAAAAAAACCGCCTTTTTGTTCTTCTGTCAGTAATGGTTCACTGTTCGTGATAATTGTGCTAAACTTCCATGGTCATATTGATTTTCTCGTTGTAAATCGGTATTGACTAAGTCGGTGGCTGGACGATTAGGTGATGGCATACCATAATGATTAAGTGGTAAATTTGAAATAAGAACACATAAATGCTCGATCAAGACCAATGCTTCATTGTACATCTCTGGTGTATAATCTATGTTTTGGCATTGATTTGTTTGTCTAATTCGGTGCAAGACGTCTTTTGTCATACAATTTTATATTTTCCTACAAAGTTTGTGCTTGCGAGGGATAACATGTCGTCAAAATAATTGCAAACAACTGACATGTAATTCGGTGTTTATGTCAACGCAGCATCAGTAAGCGTTAAGTCCCAATGGTTATCGTCTTCTAGCAATTGCAGTTCACGACGTGCATCCTGGTATGTATTGAATACTCGATTATTAACTGTTCGTAAAAATTCAAAAGTCGTCCGGGAACATTTACCAATAACAAACGTAAATAGAAGCACTCACATTGCTTTGGATGTACCGTGTGAAGTCTCCCCAATGTCTTAGCTTTGAATATGCATGTAATGGAAGGATGTGGTTTTCCTTGTTTCCGTGGCTCCCATTTTTTACTGGATTTGTTCCATGTGAAATAACGTGGAAAATCACCATACACCAATGTCTTCGCGCATTGGCCAAAAACATCAGGTTTTTGACACAATGTAAAAAATTCATTTAGAGTCGTTTTCGGAGCTTCGAACGCTCTTTGGAGAACATTTTCTTCAGTGAAGTATACACGTCGACCGTTTTCAAGATGTATTGCCAGATGTTGGACAGCAGGATCCCTTTCGTGGATGGGAAATCACAGAATATGCCAAATAGCTTCATTGCTGCTAATGTATCTGCCCATTTGGTATCGTGTTATTTCGTCATTATACCCTTGCAGGGTATTATAATTTCAGTCAGAAGTTTGCAACGCAGTGAAGAAGGCACCTCAATGTATATATTTTTGATCAGGATCAACAGCCGAGTCGATCTAGCCATATAAATAATATAAATAATTTATATTGTATGGATTCCTAGTCATAGAAGTTCTATCTGCAAGGGTATATAAACTTCGGCGTGCCGAAGTTAGCATCATTTCTTGTTTTTATTTATGTTCTGTACTTGAAATATGGCCAAATCACTGCCTTTATTGACATATTTACAAATATACTTAATTGATTTAACAGAACTGCAAAGTTCAACATTGCTATAAGTTATAGAAGTTCTGTCTGCAAGGGTAAATAAACTTCGGCTTGCAGAAGTTAGCTTTCTTTCTTGTTTTTATTTATGTTCTGTACTTCAAATAAAGCCAAATCACTGCCTTTGTTGACATATTTACAAATATACTTAATTGATCAGGTAAAAATTGAATATTTAACAATAAAATCAATTAAGGATTTCAATTTTGTTTAAACACACGTGCAGTTAAATCATGATGATGAATGGCTTGTTGTCCTGACAATAGTAAAGTTTGTATCTCTTCCCAATTCGGATTACATGTGAGTGTAATAAATAAATCCGGCTGCCCGTAATGACGTACGTAAGTCATCGCATCTTGTATGTATTCCTGTATGTTCCATGGACTGCCGATGTAACATAGCTTGAAGGTAAAATGAAAGCATTACCGATGTCATTGGGATTTAAATTTCCATCGATGTTTCCAGCAACAGCATCTCATAAGTGAATATATTCTTCCGATCGAAGTTTTGCCTGGTTGAATCGAAGGAATCGCCAGCGTTCGCTTTCGACCTTAGCATACATATCAACAACGTATTGATGGAACAGCTGACGATATCGAAGGATATAATTGTCTTGATGTTGTCTAACCATTATTCGGTGTGCGTAGTAGTTCATTGAGCTAACTTTATTATTTCTGTAATCACCTAAAAAAATAAAAAATAAAATTCAATACTAAATTAAAATCTATACATACAGTAAGGAAGTAAATAGATAATTGTTAAATTTACCGGTATTTGGATTATACTGTTTGATATTATAGTGATATTCATCTTGTCCTTGCAAAAATATCAATGGATATTGTAGTGCGTCATATAAACGGTGTAGATCAGAAATCGTACTGACAGTGTGGTCTCGCCGTGTAATTTTATAGATCTTTTGTTAACTGGATCACCAACCATGATAACAGCAACCTCATCAACAGTTGGAGCGTTGAATCTACCAGCATGTTCACCTAATGGTACTTTGTCGGCTCTTATGACGATTTGATAATTGCCATTTTTCAATAAAATTATACAGGTACCGAGTCATCACGCGCTCTTCACAATCTCCCATAAAATAAATTTGAAGAAATTTCGGATTGTTATCAGGCATTGGCATCAGTGAACCGATTTTATGGTACACCTGGACTTGAATTTTGAATGAAGTTTCAAAATTACGTCCATCGGAATTAAATTTGCATATCTTACGCAAAAATAATTTGGAATCATCTGAATTGCTATTAAGAAGGGATAATAAAGGCTCCGGCGGAGCGGGTAGAGGTGACAGCACAACTTTTCCTGATGCGCAGCACATGCCGGCTGCTTCATTCCGAATTATCAATGCCTGACAATATTGCTGCTCGCGTTGTTGAGGTTCGATTTTTTCGTTGATATTTGACTTAAAATAATAATTTAATCGTTTAAATGATAGAAAGAGGGACTGAAAAACAGGTTATTATAGCACATTTAAATAATAAGTGCAAAATAATTTTTAATGCAGGTTTAATTAAAATAATATAATTTTTTTTACAATTATTGAAAAAGTATGGGGAGCTTTGAGCCATTTTCTCATTGATATATTAATTAACTTTTATAAAACTATGTGATATTACTAACATGTACATATATATTGAAATTATTGTTCCTGTGCCTCTACTGTGGCTATGTCTCGTTCTCCTGCTGCTCTTGTTCTTATGATATTCTCTTGAAGACGTTCGTTACACTGTTCTTGAGATTCTTGTGCATTGCCTTCTGCTGTCCTGATTTTTGAGCTGGATTTCTTGATTTAATTTGTTCTGTTTGTGTCGTGACTCTCTGGCGCTCGCGTTGTTGAGGTTAGATTTTTTCCGTGGCATTTGACTGAAAATAATAAATTTCGTTTAAGTAAGAGAAAAAAAATTGAAAATCAATCTAATTTACTTTATAGTTTTGTGATTATTTTGACATATATATATTTAAATTATAGAGTTTAAATAACAATTTCAATAAGAACTGAAATACTAATTTAATCGTTTAAATTTAAGAAAAAAAAAATTTTTGAGTTTGTTATCATAGCACATTGATATAAGAAGTGCTAAATATTTTTAATAGAGGTTAAATAAAAACAATAAAAAATAAATATTTGTACAACTATTGAAAAAGTGTAGGAAATTGTGTATAATTTTTTCGTTGACATTTTAATTAAATTTAATAATTATGTGATAATACTTATGTACATACATATATTCAAATTACATTATAAAGTTTGAAGCACAAATAAGTAATAAACAGGATTAATATCACTGTATTATCTTCATTATAATATGAATTCATTTTACAATTCAGTCTAAGTAACACATGGCCGGCAATGCAAACACCAAAAATTTTAAAAGTGGAAATAATTGAATTATACGGTATTTCGTTCACAACAAAATAAATTTAATTTATTTATAGCGTCAACAACACGTGGTAATTATGCTTTTAAAATGTAGCTTATATGACACGTTCGTAGATTTACCATAGCAGCGCTATCTATTGATTACTTACTCAACCCAGTCGAAAGGTATCGACATCTGTTAGAATCATTTGGAGTTAACAAATAATTGTGACTGTCAAATAATAACAGACAAATAATAAGTAATAAATTATAAAAGCGACTATAAATTGAGATTTAAACTATCCTATCTCTCAAGTTGGATCGAACTTCACATGGTGTGCGAATTTTATTATAATCGGTTAAGTGGTTTAGGAGTCCATTGAGGACAAACATTGTGACACGAGATTTATATATATTAAGATAAGATATTTATGTATTAAACTTTTATTTGGTCGGTGTGTTATTTCACAAAATTGATTAACGCTATTGATTTTTAATTTTTCAGAAGCCAATCATTTAAAGAAGATGATGGGACTTGGAAAGGCAATGATGATGGAAAAGTTGTAAATAATCAACCGCAAAGAGTCATGGATGATAGAAATGGAATGATGGCGCAAGCTGGATATATTGGCAGGTACAATGGCAAAATTGTAATTTTCTTTTACTTTACCAAAATAAGACTGATGATGTATTGATCAACAAATTGAATTAAATTTGTTTTCTATATTTGCGGTTTCGTGTGCCGGTTTCCACCAATTATATTAGAAATTCCAAGTTCCTTTTTTTATTTGTATACCACTACTTACCTTATAATATAACTAGCGGCCCGTCCCGGCTTCGCACGGGCATTAAACATTACATTTAGATTTGTCAATTTTAACACATTCATAATAATAATAATAATATGACACATATTCATCCTTTATTTATTATTATTTTTTTTTTCAATTATTGAGGTCATAACCCTAAAAGAAAATACATTTATTTTGTTAGACCTTCTCTGTAAACAATATTTGATGTTGTTTTATTTTGTGGCAGCAAAATAAATTGATTTTCATTGGCTCCGACTCGCGATAGACCAACATACAGTTGACCATGAGTAAAACATTTCTTTCGCAGATCGATCCCTACTAATTCGAAGGTTTGGCCTTGGGACTTGTTAATTGTTAATGCGAAAGATGTTTTTACCGGAAATTGAAGCCGTTTAAATGGATTGGCAGATCAGTTGGGATCATCGGTATCCTCGATATATGAGCTAGTTGACCACTTGCTGGGCCAGTGATAATAGTTGCTACTATTAAATTGTCCTTTAACTCCTTAATAAGCAGCCTCGTCCCATTACACATGCTCGGAGGTTTTAAATTCTTAAAAGCATGATTGAGATTCCGATTTTTAACGTCAATTCATGGGGTGGCAGTCCAGAAGGGTTCAACGAATTTAAAAATTCCTGTGGATAATGGACTGCATCTTCAATATTCGTTACAGTGTCGATCGATTTGTATGTTTTGTTTGGCCGGGGACTTTTTGAACAATCAGATTATTTATTTCATTGACAGTATCATTCTTAGGTGATACTATAGCCCGAGAACACAGCCAATGGAAGTCTCTTTTGTGCAAATTCTCGATATCAGGGTATACAGAATCTATTCAATTTTCCAAATTATGGAGTATTTGGCCTAGAGACTCATCCAGAAGAATGTCACAATGACCGCTTAAATTTGGAGTTGGAAAAATTCCTTCCCCAAGTTTTAGCAGTTGCTGTGGGAAATCGCTATCAGTGATTCCATGAAGATGAGCTCTCATATTTGTCCTTAATTTTAATGTTTCAATCGTAGTCCATATGGGAGACGATTTCAAGCATGCCTTGATGATATCTGCTCGCGTGCCTCTGTTAATAACGGGAAGAGTCTGTCGAAAATATCAAGCAAATACAAAAGTAATCCCGCCCATGACTGCAGAGGAGTTCCTTAGATCCTGTAAGGTTCTGTTTACGGCCTCTATATTTGCTCTATGGCTTATCGCGCATTCGTCCCACATAATCAATGAGGCGTCTTGTAGTAATTTACCAATAGGTCCATTTTTGCGGATGGAACATGTAGATTGTTGTTCAAGATTGACGGATAGTCAATAAAAAAACGCTTATTGTGACATGACTGTAATAGTTAAAGATATACTTCCGCTGATTTTTGTAGATAATGGTGTGTTCTAAAAAAATGTAGTATATCATTTTGTTCTATCATCAATAGTTTTCGCAGCGCACGCGATGTAAGGTAGTTTTTTGATATTTTTTTAACACCTTACGTTATCGTAATTTTAGTAAGGATGCCTATTTTTTTTTAAATGAAATATAGCCTATGTCACTCAGGAATGATGTAGCTTTCCAACAGTGAAAGAATTTTTCAAATCTGCCAAGTACTTTCGGAGCCTATTCAATTCATACAAACAAACAAAAAATCAAACCTTTCCTCTTTATATATATGTATAGATGTATAGATGTATAGATGAAGAAAGTCGAATTTATCGATTTCTCGACAAGTATGTAACCCACCGTTTAGAGGGCCTTTCTTAACACCCAACGTTATCAGTTTTTTCAATGGATGAAATCTATTTTATTATCAGATACTTATCCATCGAGATATCCATGATACAGTGAAGCACAGTGAAAGAGTAACTTCCGATCCTACACAGAAAAAATTCCTGCAGTAAATCCAATTAATTCTGAAGTTAAATGTCCCCAACCCAAAATTTTGGGTTGGATTTACTGTGAGCTGCAGGAAAAACGACGTAACGCATTACGTTATATGACTGCTTTACAGTGGATCCAACCACTATTCTGAAGTAGACATTTCTTAACAAACAAAATTAGTAAATTACATGCTCTAACTGTTTAACTGTAGATAACCGCAGAATACTGTTAAATACCATGTTTACAGTAAAAGTATACCCACAATAAAAACAGAAAACGTTTAGGGGGGTAGACCACCCTGAACGGATGAAAATTGGAGGGTTTTTAAAAAATTCATTTTGACAAAGTTGTTAAGAATACAACTTTTAATTTATTAGTACATATGTCAAAGTACATATGTATGTGAGACTAAAAAATACTTATTGAAAGAGAAAAAATATATATTTACGAATGGAGGAGATATAGCCAGTCAAAAAAGGAATTTTTTAAGGGAATGGTCGGATGGTGTACATGCTGCACACCACATTTGTTATCCGAAATTCAATAAATTGGAAAAAAATTATTTTTGAGCAAATGGGAGAACTTGAAAAAAAAATTATTTTAGACGAAATTTTTTACTTAAAAGTGTATAACTTTAAAGCAAAAAATCACATCAAAAAAAATCCTACGTCATGCCATAGAGGACTTTATGGAAGATGTGTAAAAAAATTGAAGAGAATCGGTCCAGCAGTTTTTTTAAAAACGTAGTTTTTAGAAAAACGCAAAAGAAGATAAAGAAAGTACTCTAAGGTATACAGGGAGCGTTCACTTCTAATGGCTGAAGAATCCACATTTAATACGATATTTTTAAGCCCAATGTCTTAAGTAAAAAAAATCAGATTTTAAAAAAATGTCAGGGTGGTATACCCTCTTAAAATATATATATATTATTTTTATTTGTTAAAAATTAAATTACTTTTTTTTTTAAATATGTTAAGTCTCAAATAATTGCTTCAGTTCCTTATTGTTTCGAAGAGTTGCTATATCCAATGTTAAAAAGTTAAAAAAAACTTTTAAAACGAAGTATATACAAATTTTTATAAATATACTGAAGTTGACAGATTGTAAACATAAGTATGTGCAAATACATATGTACATATATTAAGGGTTTCCATACAGTTAGAGCACCCAACAAAGTGAATTTTTCGTTGTTTTTTCTGAAGAACCTTTTGAACTTATTGATCCAAAAATATATATACATATCTTTTAACTGTTTTTTAAGAGTTAAAACTAGTAAGAATATTTATTTGGAAAAGAGTTACACCTGTCTCCGGGAGCTCCTCTTAAAAAAGACGTTTTGCGGTGAAATTAAAAAACCAAGCAGATTTCGTTAGAGAAATGTCAAATCTAGTAACTTAAACTTCGGCGTGCCAAAGTTAGCTTCCTTTCTTATTTTCTTTGTTTGTGGCATATATTTTCATTTTAGCTATTCTGTCAGGTTTATTTATTAAGTAAGTGATTTTTCGTAGTATTGCATATCCTTTTTACCCTGATTTGTTATACGGTAGCTTCTCCAGAATTTCTTCTTGGCTGTTGTAGATGAAGCATTCTGCCTGACCTGGATTTGATAAATATGAGGAAAACCCCACGCCGTAGGTAGCGAAAATATAAGGCGGGGGAGTCATGGGGTTCGATTAAAGACGCGTCATTTTTTTCAAGTAGCATACATAGTACTAACTAAGCTTAGACATAGAACCGAGCTCCCTCCTTATTTACTCCGCTGAAACGAGAGCGAAGATCAACGACGGTCGACAGCATAGGCCCAATCTTCGGAACCCGAGAGCAAGAAGGATCGGAATCGGATCGCGATCGGAAAGCTCCATAAGCAGCGGTGGCACAGTGGGCCCTTGAATCTCCAGGAAGGCCGGCTGCATTACTCGCGGGTACTTCTCCGTGCCCAAATCCACGGAGATCGTCGCCAGTAAGTTAAAACGCTAATCGGCCAGCATAATGACCCGGAGGAGGGCCCGCACCGTTTCACTCAATTCCCGGATTGGAGTGCGAATGCGCACGTGAGGCTCAATCTTAAAGACCAAGTTTAGCCGGATGCTGATATCGGTCTTCGATTCCACGGTGTGCTCGACGTCAACTCTAGTAGTAGGCACGCGAAAACACGCCGCTAGCGACGCGTCAATACAGCAAGATACTCATATTGCAGTAATCCCCTCATCGACACGCTCCGTTGGAATGCTCGTGGTAGTACCGACTGGCGAGAACCGCTGGTAGCTGCTTCTCGGAACTCAAGCGAAGGAAACGGCGACATTTCCGCAACGGGTGGATCCTACTGCAGACTTAGCAACGGAAGAACTGGGTTACTCCAGTACGATGGCACTGCGTGGACGTGGAGGCATTGTCCTAGATATGATTGGTGGAATAAATTGAAAAAACAAGATTGAAGCTGAGTCCGAGTGTGGACGGGCATAATTTCGTAGCTATCATTGGGCTGTTCATTGTTGTGCAAAAATTAGGAGGATATAATGCGGTAAGAATCTCTGATGTCAGATAGCTTCAAAACTGAGATACTTAATTGCGTAGAAACGGGGAAACGGACGAATAGACGGACAGATTGACAGACGGACAGATAGACATGGCTAGATCGATTTGGCTGTTGATCCTGATTAAGAGTATTACTACTTTATATGGTCCGAGGTGACTCTTTCACTGCGTTCGGCAACTTCTGACTGAAATTATAATACCCTGCAAGGGTATAAAGAGTTGGAATCAGTACTGGTGCAAATTACGAATTGGAACTACAGATTATGTCTACGAGACAGCCAAATGACGTTGGAACATCGGAGCGGAAGTGGCGACTGGTTATTGTGGGCAGGCTTTCATCGGAAGAGTGACTTCCTTTAAGATGCGCCAATAAAACGATCATACCCCAGCTGCTTCTTATCTTTTTACAAGTT